ACCCATGCTTCAGCTTCTGCACTGTGAGGAGCGTGGCAGAGGATGTCTTTCTCCACCTGCTTCATCCACTCAGTGCTGTCATCCCGCCATCTTGGAGCGTTGACTGTCCTTCTGCTTTAGTGCCATCTGTCTCCAGTGACAGACAGGAGCATTTGCTCCAAAGGGTAGGGTAGAGTCAGGCCCCAGGGAATTCATACCAAGACCCGCTTCCCCCTGCCTCTCTCTTGGTGAAGTTGGGGAAAACATCTCTTCTTTTTCTTGTATTTATCTCACAACCAGGTCCCTTGGACTCTTACCTTCAAGCACCAGAGTTCTTAAAAATATTTTCTGCAAATAGAGACAGTGCTGTCCCCAAGAGGAATTCTGGGGATGAAAAGATTTACCATCTCATTACAGGTGTAATTGCTCTTTGCTTCCTTTGTTTGCAAGCCATAGAAACACACACAGACTAGCTTAAGCAAGAAAATAAATTTACTGGCTCATAGAACTAAAAAGTCTGAGGTGGACTTCAGGTGTGGTTGGATGCAGTTGCTTCAATGATGTCATTGGCTCTCTCTTTTTTCTCCTTGTCTCTGCTCTGCTTTCCTCTGCGGTACTCAGGAAAAACCTCCTGAAGAGGTGGCAAAAATGGTCATTATCAACTCTTTGTTTTCATTTCACAAGATTGGTTATCTCAGCAAAAAGAACATGTCTGCTTCCCAAGAGTTCTCACCAAACTCCCAGAGTGAATTCTTATTGGCCCAGTTTAGTTCAATATCCTAAAGTCAAACACTGATTGGCCAGGCCTGGATCAGGTGCCTGCCTCTGACAGCACCGTGGTGGGCCCCATCTGTCCCCCAGCATGGAGGGTGACAGACAGATTCTGTTGCCACACAGCCACCTGCCATTGTCTCCGTGACAATTACTCAACCTCTGTCCCACTCACTGGATCCATTTTCGGTGCTCTGCTCCTCCTTAATGCACCCAGGGGTGGCATCTGCTTCCCAGGTTGTTGTGGGCATCAGAGCACTGGTGGGTGGGGCCCTCAGATGGGCACTATGGACTTGGGCCCTGGAACATGCCTTGCCTTCCGGCCCCCTCCTCAGTGTCCTCTCTCCTAGGCTTTGAGATTAGGGGCCTTTCCAGAACAATGAGAGGTGAGGCAGGATAGAGAGACCCTGGTTATCACATGGAAGGTACCCCTCGGTTATCACTGGGGGTGGTATGGACATACGGAGGCTCCACTTTAAGACCACTCCACCTATTGTGGTCCTTGCATTCTCCAGCTTTTTCTGTCACAGCCTGAAGCACATTCACACCAGCACAGGGCTGGAGATGCCAAGAGGTCCTGCAGCTCCCTGAAGACTCTGCTTCCAGTGGAAGTTTTGGAAAAAATCTTCCCTACCACCTTCAGTTCTTCCTCTCTGTCCCTTCCACAGTGGTCAGCATTCACTTTCTAAAGCTTGGCCTGACTTCACTCCAGGCTGGAGCCTCTGTGGTGGATGTCTCTGCTGCGTGGCCACAGGCCAGCTCCTAGGCCTGCTTTCAAGGCTTCTGGTGACTGAATATCCACCTCTGTTCTGAATTCACCCTGGGATGCCGGCCACTAGCGTATCGGCCAGTTAGGCCCCATCTGACTCTGGGACTTCCCCTGTGGGCCCTGGCAAGAGCACCCCCTCTTTCAGACCCCACTCCTATCCCCCCGGCCTCCTTCTGTCTTGCAGGGCATCGGCTTCTATATCACTCTGCAACCACACTTCCCTGGTCTGTCCTTCCCTCTCCCTCAGCGATGCTGTGGGAAGTAGAAAAGTTCCTTTTTAAAGTTTCTTTCCTGTTAAAAATTAAACTGTAAGTGTGCCAACAACTTTGTTAAGCCCTATCCTATGTAGCTGTTAGACATGCCATGCTTACAGGCGTATAGCACATTCCATGTCCTTGTATTTTAACCAAGATATCTGTGCTGGACATGCTCACAGGCATGTCCCAGCTCTCCATTGCTTTTACCTGTGTAGAAAAGTTTTAAGTTGTTAGCCAATCGGGTTTTAGTTTAGATTGTGAGGTCTGTCTCCAGCCAATGGAGATCAGACACAGCAATAAGAACCCAAATCTGTAAGAAATAAATTTGTGTGTTTTCTTCTGTTCATTGCACTCTTGTGGCACGATGGCTACCAGAAGTACCATTCCTGCAGACCAGGAAGTAAAAATTGTGTTGCTAAAAGATCATTTGTCTCAGTCCTGATTTTTCTTTGAGGCACTGAGCATCTATTTCCAACAGGTGCTGTTCCCAGTGCTTCTTGTGGGTGACGAAGCACCAACAAAACAGTGCCTTAAGACAACAGCAGTCATGTTGTTGTCTCTGTGAGTAGTGCTGAGCCGGGCTGGCTCAGCGTCTCCTGTGTGGTTGCTGCTTGGGGGCAGCTGGGCTGGCTGTGTCTCTGCATGGTCTTAGGGCCCCTCTGTGTGTCTCTCAGCCTGGGCTAGTTGAGCTTCCTCTCAGCACGGTGGCTTCAGGCAGCTGGGCTGCCAGCATGGTGGCTCAGGGCTTCAAGGGCTTGTCCTCCAGGGAGCAGACACCATGGCACTTTTTATGATCCGGCCTTGGAAGTCACGGAGCATCACTTCTGCCATATCTGTTGGTTTAAACAGCTGCAAACCCCACCAATCCCAGTCATTTGTAAGAAGAGCAGGTGGCATAGGAGATCTTGTCATGGTCATCTTTGAACAGCTCCTCTGCACAGGTCAGGAGGGAGGAAGACCCATTCTGTGTCCCCAGGAGTGGCCAGCACAGAGTCAGCCCTGCCATGCCCAGGGAATTCTCTGTCCCTTCCTCACGTTGGAGGAAATTGCAAGTTCTGCCTCAGTGAAGAAAGTTTAAAACTCCCCATAGCATCTGAGGGTCAAAGGTGCCTTCTAGGAACCCAATTCGTCCTCCCTAACTCCCTCTGGGACCCGTTCTCTGCAGCCCTGGGGAGTGGAGCCTGTGTGGTCTCCTGAGCATCACTCCAGCGTTGCTCTTCCTACATCCAGGGAGATCCTGGTGTGGATCTCAGCCCCACTGTTTTGGAGCTGGGAGACCCTGACACACAACTTAACCCGAGTCTCCATTTCTGCACTTGCAAAATGGAGATAATAATCCCCTCTTCTCAGAGCCGCAGCCAGGATCGATGGAGATAATAGATGAGAAAATGCTTGGCTGGGGCAAAAGTGCAGTCACGGCAAGAGTGTTCTCCCCCAGCACCCCTCCCACCTGATGCAGGACTTAATAAGAGCTGGCTGCTCCCTGGGATCTTTAATTAATTGTCCCATCCCCACAGCCCCAGTGCCAGCAGATTAAACCCGGCCACGGTGGGAAGTAGGCTTCGGACCGCTTTGGATGCAAATGCCTGAAGCAGAGGATTTCTGCCTGTGAAACGGCTGAGTGGGTAATTTTAGAGCAGCTGCGCCCGGGGCTGCCCCCAGGGAGATGAGCCTCTGCGCCCTCAGCGGAATCGGTGCAGCTAGAGGGTGCCCTTTTCTTACCAACTCATCTCTGGTGCCTGCAGGGTGGGAACCATGGCCTGCCAGCCCCAGCCCCAGCCCCAGCCCCAGCCCCAGCCCCAGCTGCAGCCCCAGCTCCCGCTCCAGCCCCAGCATGCCTTGGCCAGCCCCAGATACAGGAGGGAGGAGGCAGGCAGATCAGTTCCACAGTGACCTAGGGGTAACCATCCAGGTGCTCTCCAGGTACTCAGCCATTTTGTTCCCAAGGCAGTGCTTAGCCTGCCCTCCACTCTCCAGCCACCCCCCACCCCCGGCATTCGGCTTTAGCCTTTGCTGTTCCCATGGCTTGGGATACTGTTTCCTGGGTGTTACAGGAGGGCTGTCTCCTCCGCAGCCTCCGGGGCTTCATGTGAGTGTCTATCTTTGAGGGACAGGGCCTGCACAGCTCCTGCGCCAGAGCCTGAAAAGCTTCCCCCACCGCCCGCCACCACTTGGTGTTTTGTCACCTCACCTGCTGGTTGTCGGTCCCATGGAAGCCTGGCTTCAGTGCCAGGGACCAGCTGCAGGGGCTCAAGGGAGGGCCTGGCCCAGGCCTGGGGCAGGGAGGGAGGAGCAGGAGCAGGCACAGGGGACACCGAGCTTCACTGAGAGCACAAGGACAGCCAGGACTCCCCCCAGGGCCAGGGTTGGAGTGGACCAGAGCTGTCCTGAGCAGGGGTGTGGCTAGGCCTGTGTGGCTCAGTCACAGGACATGGGGCTTGGGGAGGATGGCAGGAGGTGGTGTGTGTCTGCAGCTGGGGTGATGCTGGGCATGTCTCCTGACAAGCCCCTAGCAGGTGGACACTGCATCCTTCTGTGAAGCAAGTCTGAGGCACATCCCTGCATCCCCCACAGAGGTAAGTGCTTCATCTCTAAGTAGACAAAGCGCTTGTCGCATAGCGGTGCTTAGTTACTGTTTGGCTGGCTGAATAGGATCTAGTCCCTAGAAAGCACCTCAATTCTGATAACTTTCGGTTGTCCATGTCTGAGTCTCTGTTCTGCAGGAAAGGACACCTATACTGTGGAGCCTAGGATCCTGTGCTGGGAGCTTTACGCAGCTTCTCTGGCTCCTCCTCACCGCTGGCAAGTGAGTCCTACCGTATTTATTATGGATGAAGAGGTGAAGGTGTGGGACCCAGGATGTGGTGCTCTGACCCCTGTGTTTCCTGCCAGGGTCAGCCCAGCTCGCCGGGAGCCTGACTCTGGGGTCTGGCATGGATGAACTCTGGACTGGACTTCCTCCTTTGCCCCTGGCCTGCACCCAGCACAAGCACCTCTGAGGAACACCCTCAACCTCCAGGATAGTCCAACTTCCTGCGCCCTTCAGCCCGTGCTTGCTTGGAGATGGCTGCGTCTTTCAGCACCCGGATTTTCAGTGACTGCCCAAACTCCCTGCAGCCACCACGCTCTACCTTTCTGGACCCACCTTACACAGCCACACCCAAGGCGGCCCAAGTCCCCACGGCAGCATTACACATTCCCAGAACGCTTACTCTGTGCCAGTGTAGTGACACCTGGCCTGCCTGGATTTAGTCCCCATCCTACTTAGCTGTTCTGGAGCTGACACTGTGACCCGTGCAGGGCCGAGCATCCCAGGTGAGTGCAGAGCCCCTGACCTGGGGGTGCCACTGCTTTGTGGGACCATCACAGTGAGCTAGGAATAGAATCGAGGGGCATAGAGGCAGCTCTGCCGGCATAGACCATCAGCCACATTCAGCTTGGGGGTACACAGCATCAGAGAAGCCTTCCTGGAGGAGGTGGAGTCTGAGCTGCCTCTTTAGGGTGAATCTTTTGACAAGGAGAGGACCAGAAGGGTGGGCTGAGCTGGGGGTACAGAGCTGTGGGAGCCTCTCTGCAGGTGCTGTGTTCAGAATGCCTGGGCTGGGGGTGAGCCATGGGGGTGGGAGGTGAGCTGCTGCTGGGGTGGCTGCTGCTGGGGCCCCTGCTCCTGCTGACAAGGTGGCTCTGATACCTGGGAGCAGGTGGAGCAGGTGGGAGTGGTCTGACGGGGCTAATGCACACCTGGTGCCATCCCCACAAAAGCCCTCAGAATCCTCACTCAGGGTCTGAGGACACCCTTCAAGCCGGCCCTGCCCATCCCTCCAGCCTCCCACCAGGGCTCCCCCACACCTGTGTTCTGCAGACACTCTGGTCTTCTCTCAGGTCCTCCCAGCCATTGCTGGGCCTTAGCACTTCTAGAATGTTCTCCTCAACTTCCGTGCTCCCTACCACCAAGTCTTTGCCCAATTAACAGCATCATATGCTTTGGCTTTGCGCGTCATCTTCGCTGGCTCAGGAAGCTCTCCCTGGACCCAGAGGGGATGAGCCTGCCCTGTCCCCTGTCCTGAGAAGCTCGCACATCTTGGTTCTCTTGTGGTGGTGTGCCCTGTGACTCTCAGAGTTCCTGGCACACTGCAGGGACTCAGGAAATACTTGTCACGTGAGTGGAAGAGTGAATGGATGAATCAGTCACCATTCATGTGGTGACCTGAGGGGCTAGCTGGATCCCAGGCTAGAGAGCCCAGGAGAGCAGGGCCAGGGTCTCCTTGCTATCACTGTGTCCTTGGCACCTACCAGGCATCCTGAGTCTAGCAGGCACTCAATAAGTATGTGATGAGATTGTATTTTGGTGTGTTAAAAATTATTTTTTTGTCCATCCTAATTCCTCTTTGACCAGTAGCTCTTCCCCTATTAAAACTTGACCTTGAGACATCCAGTCACCTTGCGGAGGAAAGTGATTGCAGGTGAACAAGAGTTAGATTCTTAGTTTTTCCATTTCGGGAGTCAAATCTTTTAATTTGCAAGAGCCTGGTGTGTACCTATCAAATGCCCTGAGGGTCTCAATGCTTCGCATAGACATGAAGGTGCAGGTGTGGAGCTAGTGAGAGCTTCTCCCTCTCAGAGGAAAAGTCTCCGGGGCTGGAGAAGCAGGAAGGGGTGCGTTGGTTAGCTTTTACCACATAGCAAGACTTCCCAAAACCCAGGGGCTGAAGGCAGCACGACTGACTAATTTCTCACCGTTCTGTGGGTTGTCCAGGCAGTTCTGGTTTTGGTGGGCTCAGCTGGGGCTGGATCGTTGCGGAAGCCTCGCTCACATGTCTGGGCGGCCACCGAGAGGTCCGGTGGAGGATGCCCCCCTCCTCTCCTGAAGGAACCCCACCCAGGCTTCTTCCCAGGCAGTCTCAGAGGGCTGGACAGCCAGGCTCTTCTCCAGTCTCTTCTTGTTTCATTTGCCAGCGTCATCTTGGCCAGGCCTAGGCGGGGTGGGGGTGGAGGTAGAGGGAAGGAGCCCCTACTCTCCTGCTGAGAGGGGCAGAGCATAGAGTCACCTTGTGAGGGGGTAAGCATAGGGAAGTAAAGACATTTGTGACCTTTTTTATTTGCAGCTTACCACAGGAAGAGGAGAAGGATTTGAGTGAGACAGACCTGTGTCCTGAGAACACTCTATGCCCTGCTAGTGTATTCTGGGCAGAGCTGGGGAGCAGGGATGGTAGAAGCCAGGGAAAAAGTTGGGAGATCCAGAGAGATGGCTGTCTTTGTAGCATTTTCTGGAAGACAGCATGACTACGGAGTGGCAGACAAGGCAGGGTGGATAGGGTACAGAACACCAGGGAATGGACACAGTGGGTATTTCTGCTGGACCCCGGGGTGGGGTGAGCAGGACACAGAGCCATCTGGGGACCTAGGCCTGGAGACAAGAGGGCCAGCAGACAGCCCAGGAGATTCCAGGGAGGAAAAACGATGATGCAAAATGGGACACTCTCAGGTCCCCAGGGCCTTGGCACTCAAGGGGCAGCAATCTTGAGCAGGGGAAGCCCAAGCAGGGGTCCAAAACCAACTACAATGCAAGTGCCAGCTGGGAGGGTGATACTGGCAGGGGGGTGACACTGCTGGGTGGGTGATACTGGCGGGTGGGTGACGCTGCTGGGTGGGTGACGCTGCTGGGTGGGTGACGCTGGCAGGTGGGTGACGCTGCTGGGTGGGTGACGCTGGCAGATGGGTGACGCTGCTGGGTGGGTGACACGGCTGGGTGGGTGATACCGCTGGGTGGGTGATACCGGTGGGTGGGTGACACCGTCAGATGGTGACACTCCTGGGGGGATGCCATTGGCAGGTGAGTGACATTGGCGGGGGGATGACACCTCAGGGGGAGATGACACTGCTGGGTGGATTACACTGGTAGGGGGATGGATGCCACCCCGGGGATGGACAGTGCTGGGTGAGGGACTCTTGATAGCCTAGAGCAGGGCTTGGCCAGGGGCATCTTTTTGTTACACAGTGACAAATGTTTAGATATGCTGCTGGAGATTTAAACAATTAAATAGTCCTAGTGATCTGTTTCCATAACAGAGGATGCCATTCTGAGATGTTTTCTATCAGAGATGAAGTTAGCTTCTCTGTCTTTATGTGCAACTTTTACTAATTTGAGGACACAAACGTTTTAAATAACACTTTAATTGATACGGAATTCCCATTTCTTAAAATTCACCTTTTAAAAATAAATAATTCGGTAGATTTTTGTTTGTTTGTTTGTTTGCAGTTGTCACCAGTATCCAATTGCAGAACATGTCACTCCCAAAAAGAAACCACAGCCATGCCCCATGGCTTATCCCCACGGCCTGGAAACCACCAACCTACTTCCTGTCTGCAGGGATGCACTATTCTGGACGTTTTAAATAGATGGAATTTGTCTTGAAGGCAGTGTGGCCCCACGCCCGGCTTCCTCCACCAGCCTTAGGGTCTTCAGGGCTCCCAACGCCATGCTACAGCACTTCATTCCTTGATTCTTTAAGGGCTGAGTAATATTCCACCCTGTGTATGTGCCATGTTGCACCCATCCCTTTGGCAGTTGATGGACATTTGAGTGGTTTCTACTGTTTCCACTTTTATGTCTGTGCAAGTGTTTTAATAAATCTTTGCCTAAGCATTTTCCCCTCATGCTTCAATTTTGAAACACTAGAAAATCTATATTATGTGTATAACATCTACTTTGTAAAATTTTTCTACAAGTTCCCTATGTAACACAAATGCACAGCTTCTTGCACAACTGTTGCTACAGGGCCACCAGGATGTGTCACTAAGGGACTGTGCCATTTTAACCTTGTGTGGGTCTGGGTCACAGTTGCCAACGTGCTGTGCTCCCTGGCTGCTTCTTTGTGAAAAGTAGCTAGGAGGACCAGTGAGGAGACACGCCCACTTCAGGTGTTCAGGGGAACACCTCCTCCCACAGGTGGGTGCTTTGTTCGGGGAGCCATATTCACACTTCTGCATACTTAAGGCAAGATAATATTACTGCCCATTTTACAGATGGGAAAACTGAGATGAAGACAAGTCCAGAGGTAGCAAGAGGCTGGATGAAGATGCACTTCAGGATTGCCCTGGAGGCTTCCCCTGCTCAAGGCTGCCTCCTGCACAGCCCGACAGCCTCTAGTAGCAGGGCCAGGAAAAGGACCCTTGGCCTTGAAGGAGCATCAGCCCATTAGCATCCCTCTGCTCTTCTCCACATGCCTCACAAAGGGAGGAAACCACTATTTAATCTTCAAAGAGATTTAACTTAACTACAGGTAATATAGAGTGTTTAGCATAGAAAGTGAAACTTACTGGAGTCTTCCCCTAGGGTACTGGAATCCACTTTCCCAATGCACTACCTTATCTGAATGGCCCCAGGCAGGCAGTGAGGCAGCTCTGAGGGAGGAGAGCTGGGCGTGTATATAATCCCTGACTTCCCAGAGCCTTGGGAAGCTGAGATCAGACTTGTGCCTATCACCACCACCTGACGGGTCCAGGACACAAAAATCGTCATCCCTGTTCTACAAGGGAGGAAGTGGAGCCTTTGATACAAGTGACGTTCTCCATCACACCGTGGCTCTTGAGGGGCAGGGTCTCAATGGGCTCCCTGTGTCTCATGCCCGCACAAGGCCTGGCTCCAAGGAAGGGCTACACAACCTTCCTGCGAGAGAATGAAATCAGGAGCGAAACAGTAGCTTTGAGAGTCCATGGAGTGCCCAGGAACTCAGGGCCTTTATCTTCCAGCCCAAGCACCAGGGAGCTGATATAAGCAGCTTCGTTGAGACCTGGCTCAGCTGAATGAGGTCGAGTGCCTTAGGTCATGAACAGTACAGAAAGAGCTGTCCCTCTTCAGAGCTGAGCGCTGCAAGGAGGGAGAATGTGGTGGGGGTCATCACCTCCTGCTCCACTCCCCTGGCCAGAGCAAACTGGGCAGGGCAGCCCTGAGGAGGGGCCACTGGACAGCAGAGGTCGAGAGCAGCCTCCCTAGGGTCTGGCTGTTCCGCTCTCCAGTTTCATCGAAGATCATTTGAAAACTGGTCACAACAATATTTCCTGCCTCTTCTCAGCAGCAGTCAAAGGCAGTATCCATGATGTTACACATAATAAATGGCTTTTGATTTACTGGCAGGAAAAACAATATCACCACTGATGAAATCTGATGCCTTCTTCTTACCAGTTAACAAGGGTGGGATCGCTTGATGAAGAATCAAGTGGTTACATGTGTTCATTGACCAAACGTTTATTGAAAAACTGCTTGGGTTGGAATCAGTCCAGGACTGAGAACACTGAGGTGGCCAGGACACTGT